ACATGCCAGGTTCCTTAGTCCTCTGCGCTGGTCACGGAAACTCATTGAGCATGTGTAGGCTTGCGAATCTCTGCAGGAGAGGCAGTGCTCAGCCTGGCTGCTGACAGCAGGGAGAGAGACAGTATTATCATGCATCTCCTTCATAAAAATAGGTTGGAGCCTTCAAAGGAGAGGTCAGCCACAGCATGCTCATTTTCATTATACTCAGGACTCCAGAAAAGGCTTGGGCACCAGCTGCACCTCCTGAATGTTCCTCCACTCCTGCTGGGGGCACGCCCCACAATTTGGGGACCTCTGCTTCAGAAGGTTTTGTGTGCAGCCTGGAGAAATTGCGTAAATACTACCTAATCAATTGCTGGAACACCCTCTGAGGTAAATTTTATTATCCCCATTCTACAGATGTAGAAATTAAAACAGAAAGGTTAAGTGATTTGGCAAAACTGTCAAAGGAGTCTGTTACAGCCAGGACTAGACTTTGTTGTCAATCCCATACTTTACATTGCATCTCACCTTACTGAGTCACCCATCCTTATGGCTACAAGTGACATCTGCTCAGCATGGGAGCTGGTCCAACTGCAGACAGTTGGCTTAGAGTGCCTCACAGAGTGGCATCAGCATTAAATCAGTAATGAGCTAGATGGCACTTATCCATGCAGCCATCAGTCAAGGAGTCCAGTGGCCCTGTTTTTCATAGATCAGCTCTGGGTAAAGGGGTGGAGAGGCTGTCACTGGCTTTCAGGAAAATAAGCAACAAACCTTCAATCCTGGCAATCAGTTTACTTTTTCAAAGATATCTTTGAAAGCAAAATCGCTAGAAACTTTCTTTTATTTAAATGGAAACTGAGATGTAAGGTCTGATTCTGTGAGGTGCTAAGTGACTTCAACAGGCCCGGATTAACCAATGTGCACTCGGTGCACTGGCATATGGCTCCCATCTCAGTGGAGCCCCCAACCACTGGAGGAAAAAAACCACCCTCCCACACCCACACCCAAAGCAACTCAGGGCCACAAAGGGGATGTGGCAGGGCATCACATCACAGGGGGAGTGTCACTCCTGAATAATGTGGAAAAATCCAAGAGGTCAGAGTGAAGAGCCAGGCCAGCCATGCGGGACAGGAGCACTGTGGGAGGAGGGTAGGGAGGGCTTGCTCTCTCACCGGGGAGTTCCCACCCTCCAGAAGCAGGGTAGGGGGGGGCAACTGCCATAGTGCACAGGGCCCCAAAATTCTATGGATTTATATACACACTAATATAATAAAATAATATATAACACCTTCAACACATCTCAGAATATTACAATAAAGAGACACAGCCATAGGCATCTATTTGCAGGGATGTGCCTGTAACATCTAATAAGATGATTGTTTTTGTGCTCATATAGCACAGTATTGGGAGTTAGGATCCCTGAGGGAATCACAGAACTTTAGGACTGAGAGGGACCTCACGAGGTCATATAGCCCAGCCCTCTGTGTTCAGGTGAGACCAAGTATACCTAGATTATACCTGACAGGTGTTTGTCTAACCTGTTCTTAAAAACCTCTAATTACAGGGATTCCACAACTTCCCTTGGAAGCCTATTCCAGTGTTTACCTATCCTTATAATTAGAAAATTTCCCCTAATTTCTAACTTAAATCTCCTTTGCTGCAGATTAAACCCATTACTTCTTATCCTGATCAAGTGTCTCCCAGACAAGGGCCTGTGTCATCAAGTGTGTCCAGAAGGGGGATGGGTCATGTTAACCTGAAAAAAATAATAATCTCAAAATATGCAATATGTGTGGGACAGGAGATGGGGGAAGTGAATGGAGAACATTGGGAAACCAATACATTTATTGATATACCTGTAATCAGCCCTATAAAGCAGGTCTGTACAGGCAAAAAGGTACAGTTGGTACAGAAAAGATACTGGTACAATATTGTATCATGTCAACATAACTTTTATATATGAGCTTGTATGCATTTATATTCACAGATTCCATGGCCAGAAGGAACCACTGTGATCATCTAGTCTGATATCTGTATAACACAGGCCATAGAACTGCCCCCAAATAATACTTAGAGCATCTCTTTTAGAAAACATCAGATATTGATTTAAAAATTGTCAGTGATGGAGAATCCACCACAATCCTTGGTAAATTGTTCCAGTGAACTACCTCACTGTTAAAAAGATACACCTTATTTCCAGTCTGAATTTGTCTAGCTGTAACTTCCAGCCATTGGACCATGTTATACCTTTCTCTGTTAGATTAAAGAGCCCGTTATTAAATATTGGTTCTCTATGTATGTACTTATAAACCGTAATAAAGTCACCGCTTAACATTTTCTTTGTTAAGCTAAATAGATTGAGCTAAATACTGTCTATCACTATCAGGCAGGTTTTCTAATCCTTTAATCATTCTTGTGGCTCTTCTCTGAACCCTTTCCAATTTTTCAACATCCTTCTTGAACTGTGGACAACAGAACTGAATACAGTATTCAAGCAGTGATTGCATCAATTTTAATATTTGTAAGGATAGGTTGAGCAAATCCTCCAATTACATACTGGAATATTTCAGTTTTGAGGGGTACCATGGGGTGCCCCAGCACTTTGGAAGAGGTTTTGTTCTCCATTTCAACACGATTTCCTTGCTAGTCTCCATTTGGTAGTATCTGACCTTTTCTCTACTTCAGCTGTGATATCCACTCCCAAAAGTACCACATCTGCCTACACAGAGAAACTGAAAGCCCTGAGAACATCCTCTTGGGTGACTTGTCATCCACCCTTATCCCCAAGTTTATTTAAGTAATCTGGGGAGAGGGGAGGGGAGGGATAATTTAGACCTTATTTTAAATCAAGAAAATAATTTATCCTGTTTTCAGCTGAAACCCTGAAGACAGGCAGGTATGGATGGCAACCCCTCCGCACTTTTAAAGGAATCATGGTGCTGAGCTGCTTCTCAGCTGGACCCTGAAACTTCATCCAGTACAGAATGGCTCTGTGAGAGCCGGATGGAAGGGGTCTGTCTGTATATATGCACTTGCCCTCTAGAAGCTGATGCACAGAAGGAATAAAATACCTACTGCTAATCCTTTAGCTTAAGAAGGGCCCTTCTTTTTGGGTAGTACAAGGTTCTAGCCCTGGCTCCCCAAGTATTTGTGTATAATTTATATAGTAATTTTATTTCCTGTGATGACTGGATAACTGGATGAATAGTAGGCTAAGAATGATGGAAGAGGAGGGAAAATGGATAAACAGGGTGGGCAGACTGTTTCTTGACAATTCCCCATCTCCCCCTGGCAAATGCCCTCAATTTCTCCCTCCCAAATCCCTGAGGGGTAAGACCCCAACTCTCCTAAATAGAGCCCCTTCCCCAATACAGTATTTAGCCCAGGGGTCTCAAACTCAAATGACCAGGAGGGCCACATGAGGACTAGTTCATTGGCCCGAGGGCCGCATCACTGACACACACCCCCTCGCTGCCCCCACTCCACCCCTTCCATGAGGCCCCACCCCTGCCCTGCCTCTTCCCACCCCTTCCCCACACCCAGTCCAACCCCTTCCCCAAAATCCCCACCCCAACTCCGCCCCATCCCTGCCCCCAGAGGGTGCAGGAGAGGTGTGGCGGGGGCTCAGGGCAGGGAATTGATGTGCAGGGTGCGGCAGGGGGCTCAGGGCAGGGAGTGCAGGAGGTGTGCAGGGTGCAGCAGAGTGCTCAGGGCATGAGGGCAGGGAGTTGGGGTGTGGGGTGCAGGAGGGGTGCGGCAGGGGGTCGGGATTCAGGCAGGGGGGTTGGGGTGCAGAACAGGGTTGGGGTTCAGGCAAGGGGCTCAGGGCAGGGAGTTGGGGTGCAGGAGGGATGTGGGATGTGGCAGGGGGCTCAGGGCAGCAGGAGGGCTTCAGGCTCTGGCCCGGAGTTGCTTACCTAAAGCGGCTCCAGGGTGGCAGTGGCGCACACTGGGGCCAGGGCAGGCCACGGGAAGTAGCCCCGCGGGACGTGTGTTTGAGACCCCTGATTTAGCCAGTTGTCCCACTTTCCCATGTAGATTTGGTCACTGATAAGGATATGTCCACAGTACAGCTGTGATCATGCCCTCCCAGCATGGGTAGACACTGTTAACTCTGCTGAAGCTAGTGTAATGCCGACAACCAGGGTCTGTCGCCGGGCAGGATCAAACCTGGAATCTCTGGCGCTTAGTGCAGGAGCCTCTACCACATGAACTAAAAGCAGACTGGCTGTTAGCTAAGGCTGTAGAGCAGACTCATTTTATCTCTCTCTTTAAGTAGTCTTTGTGCCACTAGATGGGACAGGACACCACATCCAGAAGGTGTGTGGGTTACACTACCATGCTAGAAATAGCCCAGGGACATTAGGGCTCCATTGGTGGCTGGAGTCCAATCCCTCCCACCTCTTGGGTCTGAGTCAGGTGACTAGCCCGAGCTGCCACCCCGTCACAACGTCCATGCTGCTATTTTTGGCATGCTGGAGCGGTGCTAGTGCGAGTTTGTTTACGGGGGCGGGGAAGACTGATCCCGGCCGCAGCGCAGCCATACCCCCGGGCAGCCCCCAGGTGTGAGGGCTGAGCCCCCACCCGCAGCGCAGCCATACCCCCCGGGCAGCCCCCAGGGCGGGGGCTGATCCCGGCCGCAGCGCAGCCATACTCCCCGGGCAGCACCCAGGGCGGGGGCTGATCCCGGCCGCAGCGCAGCCATACCCCCCGGGCAGCCCCCAGGGCGGTGGCAGAGGAGCAGCAGCCAATGGCCCCAGTCTGCGCACGTGACGCAGCGCACGGGGCTGTTCGCTGAGGAACTGAGCGGGGCGCGCAGACAGGTCCGCGCGGTGACAGCACGTCACCGAACGCACCTGTCTGTGAGCGGCTAGACAACCGCCTTCTACAGCGCATGCGCCGCAGGGGAGGCTTCGGAAGTTCGGACTCGTAAGTGGAGGCGGGTCAAAGCGCATGCGTGGAGAGGCTGCAATAGAAAAGTGAAAAATAAAAAGGGCTGCGTGCGCATGCGCAGTCACGAGCGGATTAGACTAGCCTGCGCAAGGAGACGGGAGTTGGGGTCGGTCGGGCTCGCTCGGGATGGACGAGGACATACTGACCACGCTGAAGATCCTCATCATCGGCGAGAGCGGCGTCGGCAAGTCCAGGTGAGGCGGCGCCGCTCCCTCCGCGCGGCGCCGCTCCCTCCGCGCGGCGCCAGTCTCCCGGGCCGGCTGATCATGACTGGGCCCGGTGCCGTGCTGCCCGGCCCGGTGAGGCCTCCTGGTGTGGGACTGCCGGTCTCGGGCACCGCCTCGCGCCCCGGCCCTGTTGACAGCCAGCGGGGGAGCCCCCTCCTCAGGTCCGGCCCCTCCCCTCCAGCCCTGGTGACAGCCAACGCCCCCCCTCAGGTCCGGGCCCCCCCCCCCCTTGTTCACACCCAGCGGGAGGATCCGGGCCCCTCCCCTCCGGCCCTGGCGGTAGCCAGCGGCGCTCCCCACCCAGGTCCTGGCCCCTCAGACCCTGGTGACAGCCAGCGGCGTCCCCGTCCCACCTTCAGGTCCGGGCCCCTTTCCTCCGTCCCTGGTCACAGCTAGCAGGGGCCCTTCACGTCCTGGCCCTGGTCACAGCCTGCCCCCTGCCTCGGGTTTGGGACTCGATCCTCTGCCCCTCCTCATTTAGGGGCCTTCCATGCCTTGTCTGGGACGTTCCTCCTCACAGTCAGGCTATCTTCCCTCCTTCCTATCCTTGAGGGACCCTCTTACCTAGTTGTCTTAGTTTCTGTTCAGAAGCAGGCTCCCTCTTAGCCCC